TGACGAAAATTCTGCATTGGGTTGGTAAAAGGGATTAGAGATAATTTTTAAAAAACAGTATGTAAATAGTAAATGTCCTCTTGTTTTCAGGATCAAGTAAGGACAATTTTATTGTGATCGGCATGAAACTTAATATTTATGTAGAAACTAGGAATCCTTACGTAGAAAATTATTTAAGAAAATGTATTAAGCCAACAATTGTGTCCGACAAAATATTTTGCCTCTCTGTGAAACTCTCATCTAAATTTGTTGGACCATTTCAGAGATTAACTCGGACACAGATCCGTCAATTGTATTGATTTCGATTTAAGGTAATGAAAATAATATTCAATTTCACGTTTATCTAAACCAAAAACTCAACAATTTTTTAATGTAATCTTGAACAAGTTATATTGTCTATGAAGAGTTATTTGTTTTGAAAATCCTTGTTATCTTTTCGTTAATTATAAAATATTTTGTAATATCAACAATTTGAATGTCTGATACGCTCCCGCAAAAACCATTTGTGTTATTTAGCAAAGCACTCTCCTGATATTTCTGAACGGAAAAGATAACAAACTATTTGTCAGTAGTAATGTCAATTAATTTAGATGTCTTTAAAGTTAAGAGATTTCAAAATACATATATTTTTGTGTCTTTAAATTTACAACTATTTATTAAAATATTAATAACAAAATGTAGTTTAAAAACTCATTCATAAAGTTTTGCAGTTATGTACATAGTATTGTAGCATTTCATGTAATTTAGAAGTGACATTTATTGTCACTATTGCTTAATATTTCCGCCACTGTGAAAGTGAAAACGATAAAATCGTGATTCTTTTAAAACTTGACGTCACGTTCATGTCGATTTTCACGACATCTTTCCTTGAAAAAGATAACTCGTCGAGCTTGAGAATTTCAGGAAATCTTGTGAGAAAGGCCTCTGCGGAGGACGCTCGACAGGTTTTTGTAAACCTCGCTCAATCACCTCCACGATCTGCTTTACATCCATCGTTCGGGGAATGTATCTGGAAACCTACTTGATGAAGGTTAATTTCTCTTAGAGGCTGAGTAAGTTATGAATGATGTCACCCTCCCGAAATGGTCGTTTCGTGTTCTTACCAATTTCTGAGACTATAACAATACTGCGAGACATATTGAATATCAACCATTGCTAATATTTTTCTTCGGGGTCAGCTATCAGTGCGTACTGGCCTTAAATTCCAAAAGGATCTCTGTCGTTTCTTCCAGAACCTTTTACATAGCTTTCAAGATGTACGGGAATAGTTTTTGAGTTAACACTTCCGGGTATAAAGCAATCAATTATGTACGAAGTATTGTAGTATTTCATGTAATTGAGACGTGACATTTATTGCGCTTAATATTTCCGCTACTGTGAAAGTGATAACGATAAAATCATTATCAGACGTCTGCCTTACAAACTCAAAAATATACAATATATTTTGTAAGAGAATTTGAATGTGAAACAATTTTTGCACATTTGTAACATATTGACCTTATGCAATATGAGTAACGTGATAGCCGTTAGAACTGTTACGACGAACCTTAGCAAAATTTCATCGGGTAACCTTAACCTTACATCAACATCTTCATCAAAAGTATGCCGTGTCTAGTACGCCTCAGCGTGAGCGCATATGATTTCATGTTAAATCGATTTTTTTTGTATTGTATTCATCGTTCCTTCTGAGATTTGTCAAAATTGAAAACGAATATTTGTTCTCGTAAGCAGTGATAAATTCTGAAAACGCATCCGTTATGTAACGAGTTAAGAAGAAAACGTAAGAGAATCGCACGTGAGCTAGTACGATTCTGTTATGATTTGTGCCTCTTTTTTGCTTAACGAGTTTATTTTGTTATAATGAGTAAGACAAGCCGGCTGGCCAAACTGGTTTTCAACTCGAGTTATGAGATCAGATCATTGAATATCATGTGATTTATAATTCATATGATGAAGATGTTACCCATGTGCTCAAACTCGGCTGTGGACAACTAAAAAAAACATCGAAACGATCCATCAGAAAACCAAATTTGTGGAATTCTCATCCAGGCGATATTGGGCTCGTCTCAAGTACTTCACGTATGTCGAAAATTCCTCACTGTCGGGACTTGTATCTAGAACCGCCAGGTAGACGGGCAGCTTTCCCCGCAGCGCGGGGGGGGGGGTCTGCGGAGGTGGGCACGGTCTCTGGTGTAGAGTTGTTGATGGCCACCCGGACCCTGAGTTTCACGGCGGCACTCACGTCGTTAGTGTCAAGGGGGAGGCAGTCAGTAGGCGATGCTAAGCTCCTGGTTGCTGGTTATTCGGTAACCCACCAGCTGAGCCTGTGCGCGCCGACCTTTGGGCAGGATTGGGTGAAGATTCTACGGAATGCTCTGGAATCCACATATAAAAGTCCCGCGGAAATTCACCTACCTAGGTACTCGGCGATACTCACGTCGATAGCCTAAAGATGTTGAAGTGCGTAGACGGTTGGGGACTCAAGCCGCCCGGTCCTTGGTTCGAGTGGCTCCCAGTCGGACTGTTGGCTTCGTCGTGGCAGTGGCCCAAAACTCTGAGCATAGAGGAGGGATTTGGTATCCTGGCAGATGTGAGTGGCACGTTGTCACACAATATAGTCTCCGTTGCTAGCTTGCAAAGCTAAGTGCTCTGAGCTGGAAGGGCGGCCCGACCTCAGGCATTGTGTGGGGAGGTTGCCGTGAGGGCGAACTGGGTCCCGGATATCGGCATGTTGACGCACGGCGGGGGGGGGGGCGGATAAGAACTAAAGCTCGGGTGCCTACCTTGGGATCTTGTTCCCTCCATAGAACATGTACTGTGGTGGAGTTGTGCCCACACTAGGAATCTACAGGCAGCAGACTCGTAACTTAAAAACGTCAACGCACCTAGTATATGTGTGTGTAGCAAAACCCTGATTTGATTCTCACGATAAGCAGTTTACTCACCTCCGAACGTCACAATTTTAATAGACGTGCGAAAACGTATGTCTCTACAAATGTCTTTCTTAGTAAGACTGAATATTTCATTTTATTTTTCATGTAACTGGATCAACTTAGAAAGGTGCCATTGAGAACTCTTCTGTTTTATGTTTCCCAAGGACACCCCGTGTGACCACCGCGTGGAAGCGAACTCCCATCCCTTCACCGCAAACCCTCTTACCGCTTGCGATGGCTCAGTGACAACATTGTTGCCTCTTCGCCGCCTTGACAAGGAAATCTTGTGGTTCGAACCCCGTAGGTATACTATCTACACAGCTGAATATAATTAAACCACTGTCCGTACGTGCATTCTACAGGTCAGCTGCTCTAATCGGTAGTTTTCTATGGTTTCTCCTATCTATACTAGGAAAATGCAGGAGCAGAACCCTAACAAACGGGCTACAAACCGCCCACGATATTTCCATCCTCAACTTTGTTCACTTAGCTCCTCTTAGTCCCTCACACATACACACACTACATTTCCACTCATGTCGAGAGGATAGTCGGGAGTTTAGAACGTATTTTCCGCTGAGACGTTGCCTTGCCAGGGGAGATATGTGGATACGAAATAGCGCAAACCGTCGTGGTAAGCCTCGTAATCTTACTGTCAAGCGGGGGGGGGGAGGGGGAGGGGAGGAATACCACCTTCTCTCGGTATACAGCATTCACTTCACTTATGAGACTAATGATCTAAATAGCTGACATGTTGGGAAACAAATACTCAATCAAGCAAACGTTCTCTTCAAGCCTCGCTGTATCACAGTCGGCATAATATCTTCAATGAGAACGCTACAAATCAGTCGTGATTGATTGATTGATTGTTTTAGTGATTTCGGGCACGTCAACTACCAGGGTCATTAGTCCCATAAGTGCAGTGCATGTTTTTGATCGAGAGGGGGTGATCTTTCCCCCTCTGCGTGGCGTGACGGTGTCGACCTACCGTCTGCTAGCGGTGTTTTTCTCAACCAAGTATCTCCCATCAGCGGGGCCCCGCCCCAGCCGAGACAAGCTCTAAGGTCCCGACCGGTCTCCCGGCATGTGTGCTTGTGGAGTGCATGTTAGTGTGAGTGTGTAAGAGGAGGACAAAGAAGAGTTAGGAAAGTTTACGCGCGGTCCGTGTCCCGTTCGTTAGGGTACTGCTCCGCCATTCGCCTGGTATTGATCGAAGAAACCTCGGAGAGCAGCCGGTCGCTAGAATTCTCCTCCAGGCAGCTAACAAGCTACTGTCGAAAATCTGGCCACCGTCGGGACTGGAAACTCCGACCTCCTTGTCAGAGGGACTGCAGTGACAACAGTGGATGCCCCGAGCCATTCCTCCCGGTTTGTATGGTGACATAACGTGACTTCTGGAAGAGCATAGTGTTGGAGTAAAGTTGTGTTCTTCAATTGCGGAATCACAATATTCCTTCCTTCCATTATATCTCCATTTCATGTAGACAACATTAATATTTTCTCTCCAAAACGGTGACTCTAGTTTGTATGTAATAAATGTGTTTTCTGATAGCTTCAAAAGATCTCATGCACCTCTACACGACCCTCTGCAGGTTCCCCGATCAGGAAAGCGCTATCTCTTCATTGTTGCTCTTTTTGCGTGTCATTATTACCAAGGGAAGAGACTAGAGACTTGCATAAAATGCTTTTGAAATGGCATCATCATTGCAGTCATAGTTATGGAACGTTTCTTCCAACCTACTTTCTTCCACAAACTCCACTACGTAATTGAGGGACACGAGCCGTATTAGCGTGCCTCAACTTTCCCCCAAAATTCAGTTACGTGACACCTTGCTAATTATTTGCTGCTTTTGCAACCTTACCTAGGGACTCATACGACAGAACCATCGTTTCTTAAAACAGAGAATAAATAAAGTAATAGTAAATACTTCCTACTAACCTTTATTGGAATATAGAAATACTGAAGTTGAAATCAGATTATAAATACATTGAAGTCAACCTACCATCAGAGTTTCCGCTGCAAAGTTGTACAATTATCATATGATAATCGCAAACTTTCCGAAGTGCAGAATGCAAAGGTGAAAAAATGCTTATATTACAAATGCTATATAATAGTTTTAATATACGATATAAAAATACTCATTAAACTAAATATGAACTAGCGGTACGTATTTTTACTTTCAGCTTTCAGAAATACTTTTGTCAATAGAAAAGTAAACTAGTAAAAGTGCAATTCACATATGTGAATCAAACTCCGTTTGTATTGTAGACACCTGATGAGATTTCACATTATCAATGAGATGTTCTCAAGTCATACAGTTTTGAAAATAAAATGAATGTGAAGTGATATTACACCAATGAACGTTGTATGAATATATTATCATAATACTTTATAGTTAGTAACTGTAATTTCATAATGTATTTCATAAGAGAGGTTTGTTGGTTTCATTGCGCCTTACCCTAATCTAATAGACGTTTAAATGAGGGCAATCTTTAATCATCGCCATTTTTAGCAGTACTGAGTACATACGAATTAGAGAGAAAAGTAAATGTAATTCATGAAACAGAATATTTGAAATGTTTAGAGTAAATATTTTGTGTCACGTAAAATTATATATGGGTTCTTCTCTGTCAATTTATCTGAATCTCCCATTTCTTTTCTTGATACATTAACTTTAAATGGATGGTAAAGAGAAAGTTTAAGGTATTTCACAAGTAGGCAGACTGATTCTCAAGAAAACCTACTTATTGCTTTTGGTATAGCTAAGAGCTCGTAATGGAACTATAGCCAGCCAATGAATGAATAAAATAGGCGAAAAAATTTTGCGAAGGCAGAGGTCAAAGTAGAGGAGTAGTTGTTTGTTAGGGGAAAGTTACCTAACAGGAGTCTACCTAGAGCGTACGAGGAAAACTGAGATGAAAGTAGCATCAAGAGTCAAGTCTATAATGAGAGACCAAAGACCGCGACCTCACATTATAAGCCCATGTTTTCTTGAACTTCAAAATTCCCACCTCCACACATTTACGAACATTAATTGACTTATGAATCAAATATAGCAACGAGCGCTGTTGACAACATTTTATAACAACACAATATCCGCTCCCGATCAACAGAAAGGAAAACTTACTTCACATTTGATGTGATACCATTAACTTGTAAATAACTAAACACTCAACTCCCCTCGTATTTAACAAAATCAAAGGTGGAGAAAACATACGTGGATTTTATTACAGTTTTTATCTTCAACACCGATTGTCTTATAGCATGGTAAATAGTTTGTATAATTTGTACTGCTAATACTGCAGTAGTTACTGTTACTAATACACAATAATGGGGAACTTGAGAGTGACTAAGATGTTTAACAGTGAAGTTCCTGTGTTTGAGTTAATAGATAAAAATTTTCACAAAACAATATTTTTAGTATAAATTATCAATGTGCATTATTATTGACTTGCATCATCCAACTAGCGGAATGGCATGTTTTTCTCATGATATGTTCTCACACACTTTCTACCTTTGTTTTAAAAAGTAAATAAAATATACATTTCAGTTAAATTTTTATTAACAATGTTAACGGATTAAATTTATTAAAATGAGTAAAAAGTATGTGTAAGTTTGTAAGTATGGACATTTCTCCTGCAAAACTGAAATTTTCATTTGCTAGAATGTATTTGTCTGAGAATTTCGTCTACAGATATTACATGTAATTAATGACACTTATTATTTATATATGTATCTAAACTAATATATAATTTGTAAAGAGACAAGTGCGTTAAAATACAGAGCGATAATTTCTGAATGCACTGAACCAAATCCGAAGATACTTTTGTGCTAGCTTCCCTTGAAGGTCAGTAGTGTAGGCAACAATTTACAACCATAAACCTTAATATATTTAAAAAACAATTACTTTTGTGGACTTTTTTTCGCCAAGAATTTCATTACAGATTCAAGAGTGCATCAATGTGCATTATTTTAACGATGCACCATCTGAGGATGACTACAGAGATATATGTACGTTTCAGATAATCAATGCACCGAAATGCATGTCTTTAGAATAGAAGAGGACTGTTTGTTTCTCTTACATTCAATTGTCTTATCCGAAAAGTTTATATTTAAGAATGATTATAACATATTCTTCACTCTAATTATAAAATTAACTCGGATATAGATTTTAATTGCGCCTAGGCGTGAATGTGTTAAGTGCATAAGAGATCTGAAATTATTGGAAAAAATATTTTGCTGATGGATGTGCTTGATATTGTCGTAAAAGATATGACTTAACACATGTGCTCGGCATAAAAGAGTAATTCGTTTAATTGTAGAAACTTAAGCATGATTATTACGTATTTGCGAGTTGCAAGTGCGAAAGTGAAATATAATGAATGATTTATGTGTTATGCTGAAACTGTGAAAATTATGACAGGTGGGTGAATTTTTGTAGGGAAGTGTTTTATTATGATGGGGAGTGAAAGCGTACCTGTAGCGTGGTGAAGGAATGGTTATTTAAATTGATGAAAGGTCGGCAAAAGGAAGTATAATTGAAGTAAAAGAGTAAGGGGAAATGGGTACTTGGAAAAATTGAATGTGTGACAACGCTTTTTTCAAAGTTGTTGAAAATAGAATAAATCAATCAGGTAATTAAAAAACCGTTTGTCAAGCCGGAATCCACTGTGATCTTGAATTTTTGGAAATATAATTGTCTAAGTGGTTAAAGACGCCCTTCTGTCCGCCATTATTTATCAAGGTCACTAAAACGCGTACTCGACTTCAATTGAAGCAGAATAATTAAATTTAAACTTTAGGTGCCTCGGCGTAACGTTGAAGATAAAATTCAAACTTTTTTATAAATACGAAAGAAGAAAAACATGTGAAAAAAGTAAGTTTGACAATGTGGCAATTGTTTGAAAGTATTCGTATAATAATTAAATTTTCACAAAAATAATATACGTGTGTACATGTATTTTTTTAGTTCAAATCTGTATATTATTTTAAGTCATAATGTGAGTGAAGTTTGGAAGATCCAAAACCCCAATAAGAAAAAATATTTAATAGTGAGATAAATATTTTTCGTGAGAAAGTGAGTGCGAAAGACTGGGTATTTCCCGATGCGAGCAAGGAAGCGGGTAGGGGGGATGCAAATAAGGGTGAGAGAGGGGGAGGGGGAGGGGGAGTGGATATTCAATAGAATAGATAAAAGTAGCCTCCGCCGCATAGCGGGAATAGATGGAATTCCTGATCCTGTGTAATACCAGCGAAGGATGCTGCTAACCTGTAAACAAACGAATATTGCATTTATTAGCGGCCAGTCATAGCTACAAAACATCACTTTGCTTTTGATATAAAAATTAATTGGCTTTGTGCGCCAGAAAAATAACGTTTTTTTTACACTTGTAGATCTCGTAAATTACTATATGTTAAGTGTATTGTGATAAATATCTGGGCAATGTGGGGTACTTCAGCTAATACTTATATACACTGGTGTATCCAAAGAGTAGATACTCATGTGTCTTCAGCACACACACCCACACACACACCCACACACCCACACACACACACCATATGCGAATTATACATATTCAAAAATATACCTTTTACAAATTTTCTATGCTAACGGTAGTCATTCAATGCGTCAATTATTGTTTTCTTTATGAATATTAACTGAAAGTTAACAATTAAAAATACATTTGATGTTCAGCGAAAATTTAAATGTCGTTAGAAGAAAACATCATGTCTGCTGGACACTACACTTGTAGACCTCCCCGTCCGATAAAAATCCTAGTAGCGCCTCTATCTGTATCCATGTCCATATTACATATAGACAGATAGATAGATAGACAGATAGATAGATAGATAGATAGATAGATAGACAGATAAATAGAGGAGATAGATAGGATAGATGGGCAGAGAGATTCCATAACGTCTCGACAGGATGGTGGACGGTAGACATACACGCACTCATACTCATACATACATACATACATTATCTGCTCGTCTGTGATCGTGATAAGCTAAGAAGTGATACTGCAAGAAGGAAACGTTCGACCGGCTTCACCGCCCTGAATCTTGCCTTTCTGGAGACAGGGGCAAGGAAAGGGAAATTGGAAGTGACCGTGCCAGTCCTCGCGTGCGTCCCGCGCCTCCGGCCAAG